GAGCAGCCGTGATTGCGGGAGCTCGGGGTGATATTTTACACATTAACCTCATTTGGGCAGCTGGTAACTGCGTTCGCTCTGTTTTAATGAAAGCAGCAACAGCAGAACCTGCTTTGTTGTCTGACTTCTCACGTGGAGCTGCTGAATTTTCCTCTAATTGCAGTTCAATTTGCAGTGATAAATAGTTTAATAAGCAAAAACGGGATTGACTTCCATTGTCTATGGCTCCTCGTGGCTTAGGGGAGTATTCCACGATGTTGAGTCTCATGGAAACACAACTTGGAGCTTCAAAAGCTGGTTGCTCAACTGTTAGCTATTGTTGTGTTGCGTTTTTTGACAGGCAGCAGAAGGGCAATAACAAGTTGTTTTACCTGGCACTAGGGGAAGATAAGCTGGGGCTGCAGCTCCCAGATGCCTTGCGTTTATTGTTCCTTATTCACGGGGAAAATGGCATTGCTTGAGTAGTGTTGACTACTCAATGGTGAGCTCTTAGTTTGGGCAGGTTTTTGTGTGGAAGGGCTGTTTCTGTGATTGTTGCTTATGAAAGGGGCCTGGGTTGAAGAGAGCATCTAGCACAGCATCAGCTCTGTGGGGCAGCAGGACCGACTGTGCCTGGACTCTCACCTGGCTTGGTTTTCTTTCAAAAAAATTGGATTGTCTTACGCTGTTCGTGGCTGTAGCTGGGAACTTTCTGTCGCTGGCTGCTGTGGAGCGAGGCATTACGTTTTTCTGCTAGGCTTCTTTGATTTAAATTTCTAATTGCATTTTTGTTGTTTGTTTGTTCATTGGTTTTATTTATTTTTTTTTAAATCTAATAGCTTTGCATTGCTACGTTTGCAGGAGACTCCTCCTATGGAGGCTGAATGCAACTAGTTGGTGGCAGGAAGCTTTCCTTCCAGCGGGTAAGCCATCCCCGAGGACTGACGAGCAGTTTCTCTCTCTCTCGGCCTCCCAAAGCTGGAAACAAATCAAATAAATTGCAGGAAGGGCATGGGTGATGGCAGGGAGGATGCACAGCAAAACAAATTGAGCAAGACTCTTGCTTCTTTACTGCGTTCAGCTCTGGGGCCCCCAACATCAGAAGGACATGGAGCTGTTGGAGCAGGTCCAGAGGAGGCCACGATGATGTTCCAAGGGCTGGAGCACCTCTGCTGTGGAGACAGGCTGAGATAGTTAGGGCTGTTTAGCCTGGAGAAGAGAAGGCTTCACGGAGACCTTCCAGTACCTAAAGGGGCTACAAGAAAGCTGGAGAGGGACTTTTTACAAGGGTGTGTAGTGACAGGACAAGGGTCAATGGCTTTAACTGAAAGAGGGCAGATTTAGATGAGATCTAAGGAAGAAATTTTATACAATGAAGGTGGTGAGGCACTGGACCAGATTGCCCAGAGAAGTTGTGGCTGCCTCATCCCTGGAAGTGTTCGAGACCAGGTTGGATGAGGCTTTGAGCAACCTGATCTGGGAGAGAGTGTCGCTGCCCATGGCAGGGGGGCTGGAACTAGATGGTCTTGAAGGTCCCTTTCAACCCAAACCATTCTATGATCTATGATTCTCTGCTTAGCCCCAAAGTGATCCCCTATCCCTATTCTTTAGTCTTGCCTGGTAACGCAAGACCTCAGCTGATGTGCTCAGTGGTAGGCATGGTTTCTTAAGACACACTCAATGCAGCAGCTCAAGTTGCAGGGAGCAGCTGAACGTCAGGATCAGCAGCTTCTTCCCTGTGCTTTTTGGTCCGCTCGCAGCCTTTGGGTTGCTTTCAGTCACTTCTGGCGTTCTCTGTTTGTTTGATGTCATTAATCCCAAATCCTGCTGGAGTTGGGCATTAGCGCCGGCTGCCTCACAGGTGTAGATGTGCTGTTGAACGCTGCTCTCAAATGTCCTCTTGGCCTTGTCCTGCCAGTGCCTATGGGGACGTTGGCACTTGAGGTGGCTCAGGGATGCGGAGATGTTTCCCTTCTCCTGCCGCCCACGTGCAAACCTTCTCAAACCATCTTAGTGCTGTGCAGGATTTTGGGTGCACACGAAAAAACACCCCTCAAGCATACACCAACAAAGCCGTGGTCCTGCCTGGCTCATAAATACCATCATTTTAAACCCTTATACCCTTCCTATTTGAACGTTGCACTTGCTCTCCAGGTAAAGATCCCCCAGGAAAAGGGAACGTGCTGAAAAAACTCCAAGTGAGTCAAACCAGATGCTGGGTGTTTCCTCCAAAGCCAGCGATTTGTGATCTGCTGCTGACAGCGTGAACTGTTGTTAAGTTATTAAACTGCAGATGAGCTCATCGCTTGGCCTCGAACGAGTTTCAGCCTTGAGTGGCTTTAAAATATTACATGTGGTGGAAAAGAGACAATGCTGGTGTGGCAGAGAGATTTAGGGAGCAGCTGAGAAAGACATCTGTGTATAAAAAAACTTGTACCAGGAGGGAGGAGGGGATACTTCATGTGAAAAATGTAAGGTCTCCCAGGAGAGGGGAAGAGAAATTCCCCGATTTATTCGTTCTATGTTTTAATTTTAACATAAGAGAAAACTGACAGAGTTCTGAGGTGCTTAAAGGGAAGTGGCAAGATGCTAAGCCTGGTTTGATCCTCAGAGATCCCGGTGTGTTGAGAGCTGTGTGTGTGGGATTACTTCTACCAAGCCCCAAAACCAGCTCCTTTGGTAGAGCATGGTGTTTGCCAGCGACACCATACAACTGTGGGCCAAATCCTGATCTTACTTGATATTTGCTTAATCCTAATGTTGAGCTCTACGAGACAGGGAAGGTAACATCCACACTGCTATTAGGAGAGGTGTTTCTCTCCCTGAAAGAGTGGGAATTTCCTTTGGGGATCTCCTTGCCCTACATTATCTAGTTCTTCCTTTTTACCCCTCTTGCCAAGGAGCCTGAGCTCCTGAACCTCCCCCGTTCTGTGCAGTCACCTGTGGATCTGCACAGTGCCAAAATACTTGAGGATGAAGATGGTCTTGAATGGAGGAGTTAGTTTTTCCAGCCTAATTAAACCCAACCACGCTGGAGCAGCTTTGGTGGGCTGGTCTGGCCATCACAGTGCTGGTCCTGGTGAGCACGCCCTCCTCTTCGCTCTAGATCTCAACACTGAGATTAATTCGTTTTCTTTAAGGGCCAACTTGGCAGAAGCCATGAGATAGCTCATAAATCAGTTCCGATGCTTTATTTTTTCAAACTAGATGCATTTGCAATCAGAGGGTGCATTGGCTGGTTGAGTTTTGTGGCCGGTTGGGTTTATTGTTTTGGGGCTTTTTTTGGTGTTCCCGGTGAGGGAGAACAGCCCCACACGTGGGGGTTTTTAGCTGCCTCAGCTCTTTTTTACCAAATGGCGTGTTTGCAGTCAAAGCGTCAGCAAAGCCCATGTTAACTCAGCCAGTGCTGCAGTGATGCCCCTAAAAATATCAAAGAAAACAGTATGATCAAGGCTTGCCATCTCCTTTGTGGCATGCGCTGTAATTACACGCAATAGGAGATCTCTCTGCTGCAGCTGGTGTCTCAAGGTGTAATGGATTTGTTTTTTTTAAGTGAAGATGATCGTTTTCAGCCTGTCTGAAGTCACAGAGCAGCAGCACTTACAGCCACAGGTGTTTGCAACGGAGCGATACCCGTGGTCAGTTCTTCCTTACCAAGTTACATCTCCACTAGTCAGTGCTGGCTGTCAAACAACCGCTTCCGCATCGTTTTGGCAGTGTTAGGGGCTCTATTTTGCCAAAACGCATGGCAGGGTGGCAGGCAGGTCTCAGCGTGGGTATGTCCGTACTCACTGAGTCTTGTGGAGGTCGTCTGGAAAGTAAATGGTTTGGGGTAGATGTGATAGTGTCTCTGCTATGGGAAGGTTGGATGCATTACCCAAAGGAGGGATGAACTTCCTGAAATGCAGCAGGACCCATGGGTCTTCATCTGGATAAATCCTGTCCATACCAAGTAGAGGAGGCTGCTTCTGGGCTTCACTCTTTAAAAGCAAATGCAGGTCTTTGAAGAGAAATACAAAACGTCTTATTCCTGTCAAAAATAAAAGGCAAAAGGGAAATGACTTGCTCAAGGTCACCTGGTAAGGCAGGGCTAGAAAAGGAGCCCAGCTCTCCTGCAGCCTGGCGTTGGATGGGACCTGTGAGGCCCATCTCCTTTATGGACTGGCTCCGGCCATCCTGTGGGGTGGCTGGTGGACCTCACTGCAATGTGCGTTCATCTGAGAGGAGTTGCTGTCCTATCCCCTGCTCAGCTGCTGCTGAGGAACAAAACATAGTGGAGATGAAATAGCTGAAGTGAAAGGAGTACACTGTATATAACCCTTCCCCTCCTCGTCCCTGTGCACTAATATATTTCATACAATGACGAGTTCTCTGCCAAAATTCCTCAAATTATTATGTCTAAGCATTGAAAATCGGAGAAAACAGTCTTGGAGGAGACCTCAGGAGGTCCGATCCATCCCCAGGGCAGGATCAGCTTGATCTGAACTGTTTTTGACACATCCTTGTCCAGTCTCCAACGGCAGAGCCTCCACCCCTTCTGCAGGCAATCTACTCCACCTTTTCGCCCTTCCCAAGCCCCTCCAGTTCATCCTTTTTCCCTTACTGCAATTTTAGGCACATTCCTTCCTCCCTATGCGCAGCAGACCCGGAACACATCTATGCTATATTTATTCTCCAATTCCAGTTTTGTGTTGATCGAGGTGTCATGTTCCCTGGAGTCGTCTTTGGTTTTACCTTGTTGTAAGCAATCTGTTTGCTCGGTGGATTTATGGCTTGTGAGGAGCATCAGGGTTTTCATCCTGCAGCCCTAACACCTCTTTGCAGAGCAGATAGAGCAGAGGAGGGCAGCTTTCCCCAGGGTGACATGCTCATGTGTCCCTTCCTTGCGTTGGGTGGTGATGGGGATCACTTTCTTCTCGACATCTTCATAGAGACCACCAATGTGGGATAATTTTAAGATCCTCGCTAGCACTGGCTTTTGTAGCACATCTCATATTGCTCCTTTACTCTGTTTTCTGCAGGATTTGGGAATGGAGTCAACCTCTCTGGATGATGTCCTCTATCGATATGCCAGCTTTCGAAACCTGGTGGATCCAATCACTCATGACTTGATCATCAGCCTTGCTAGGTACATCCACTGCCCCAAACCGGTAGGTACCACAGTCTTATCACACCTCCATAACTCTGCTGGCTGGGGAAACTGTTCTGCTGGGAGCATGGAGCTTACTTCTGAGTTCCAGAGAAAAAGCCTGCCGGTTACTGCTGTGCCTTTGGACAGAGAGGACCTACTCAGAGATCGTGGTTTGATTGCACAGTACTGGGCTTTCCAGCTGACCTATTCACCTAATGTCAGTACTTTGGCTGTTGGCACTTTGTTTTGCAAGGGATTTCTGTTTTCTGCCCCTTTTTCTTTCTGTGTTAAAGAACTTACCCCGTCAGGAACACTTTCTGCCTCGCAGGGGTGACAGACCATTCCTCGCCCTCCTGCGATATTTATCATGACATCCAATGACGAGAGAGTCCTTGGCTGTGCCTTCAAGGCCATGTTCCCAAAAAAGCACGGCCTCCGCGGGCTGCTGTTTGGGCTCGGACAGGAGCAGGTTTCCCTGTGAGCACAGCCTCAGGCCAATGTGGACTTTTCAAACTCTCAGCCCCATTTACTCACCGGCACCTCCAGTGATATAAGGGCTCTTGAAAACCCCAGGCTGGTTCCCTGCCCTTCCGTGGTAAATGTGACTTTGTGTGGTGGCCACTGGCTGTTTGGATAATTAAGGTTTCTTTCCCCAGGCGTTCTTTTAAATAAGCAATATTGTCTGTGTCTGTTTTGCTTAGAAAGGTATGAAATGTCTGATTTCTCCAAACATGCTGGATGAGGAGGAAGAGGGGTGAGAGAGAAGCCAAAAGCTACCAGATGGTGATCACGGGAGATGTAGGTGGCATCAGATCTCTGGGGATTTTTGAGGTCTGAGTCCTCCTCTGCTGCAGTTCCCTACCTGTAATTTTGGGAGGATGGTGCACACAGCTCTGCTAAATCGATGTGATGTGTCCTGGCACTAAAGTCACGGTGACATGCCATGCAGCAAACATGGATCAATTGCATCTAAGATGCACCTTTCAGAGGAAATACCTTTCTTCTTGTCCTGGTTCTGGCTGTAGGGTGAGCAGGAGCTGTAGCTGATGCTCCCTCGATTCCTCTTGAAACTCCCAGGAATAGGCTTCCTCCTAAAGAGACATTTCTGTCCATGTTTCGTCTTGCCTGGTACAGGTCAGAGTGTGGTGGGGGAGCTGAAGGCTCATCTATCATGGTTGTGTTTTTCTTCTGCCCTGCACATTTGCTTGTCAGGAATTAGGGTTGCATTTAAAACAAACGATGTGAATTGTAGGAAGAGGCTGAATGATGTTTTCCGGTAAGCCTGAAGGATGGTTTGCAGAGCTTCCTGATGGGACATCTTCATCGTAACAGCTTCCCTGGGAGTGTGGGAGCTGCATGGCCTCCCTGAACTCGCTGTCTGGAACCAATAATCTGCCAAAAAGTTCACTTTGAGCAAAAAGGAAGCTCTTCCACCCCCGTAACCTGCATTTGGCTCTGGTCATGCTTGCAGATGTGATGGAGCTCTGTTTGAGGGCCACCAGGAACAACCTCTCAGGCCACGTAATTCCCAACATTCTCCTTCCCCATCCTCCAAACACTTCCCATGCCTTTTTGTTCTTGGGAAAGAGCCGCCTGGAGCAGCGCCATGGCATCAGTCATGCAGGTTCGTTACCGCACAGACGACTTCATACGCTGACGTAACCGGGAGCAGGGAGGAGAGGTGCAAACACCCCAGGTGGGGTGTGTACCTGGTGTTTGTGGGTCCATCCCCGGTGATGCAGCAGGGTGCAGCTCTTCCTGCAGCTCTCCTGGCCGGCAGCACCGCCAATGTCCCAGCCATGTCTTGGGGGGACATCTGTGCAAGACCCAGGTCCCGTTGGGGATCACATGGTGAACCCCAGGTATTTTTTGGATGTTCCTGGAGGGGATGTGTGTATTTCCCAGCAGGACCCAGTGAGCTCTTCAGGCCTCTGAATTTCTGCCAAGAGCACACTTGTTGCACTCTGTGTCCTTGGATTTTGTTGGGGATGGGGGGTTTGTTTGTTTGTTTTTCCCTCTTGGAGACAGCAAACTCAGAGCTAGCTCGTCTGTTCTTGTCTCTGCTGCTGAACTGCAAGTCACTAACCCATCTCGTGCTTCCTTTTGATTTGTACGCGGTATTTTTAAGCTCTTCTTGGGAAGGGACCATCCATAGGTGTGACGTGCCTGGTGCCATGGGGCAAGGGTCGGAGCTGGGACCTGGAGGCATTGTTCTCCTGTACTTACTGCTAATAACAGGGTTTTAATTTCCTGTAAGAGTGTATGAAAGAGAGAGTCATTCACTGGCGTTTCTTGTGAATGTTTTACCTAATAATAGCCTCCATCGCTACTTAAAAATGAGGGAAATTGCCTTTTTGAAATATTTGAAGATTTCTCTAATTTTGCTGAGGAACAGCTTCAGTGATGCTTGGGGTGTGTCCTCCTGGGCTACGGTGTGAAACTGGATCTGGAATTGCTTCATAAAACTCTGTACACTCCATAAACCACGTTAGGAAGGGTGGAGTGGGCGCAGCAGTGTGCAAACGTGACTTGGGGACATCAAGGACCCAACTCTCCATCCCTAGAGTGAGGATAGATGTCCTGTGTCCTACAGCATGAGCTCAAGGTACAGACACATCCCTGTGCCGTGTAGCTAAACTCATGCAAGGATGCAAATACATCCCTTTTCGTTTTCTTATGGAGAGTAAGATCCTTTCCCCTCTCCTCCCCCATGGGGCAATGAGATGGGAAACTGGAGAAACCTATTTTGACGGGCGCGTTTCCAGGCGGAGAGGCCCTTTTTCCCCGCTGAGGTTACCCTTTTCCAAGGCGTCGTGACTAAGCTGGTTTCTCCTCTGTGTTTTGCCCTGGGAGACTAACGGCGAGCCGCGGCCAAGCGTGCGCTCTCTGCTCCTCGTAAAAATAACCTGAGGCCACTGATACAACGGCGGAACCGCTCCGCTGCTGGATACCTGCTCTCGCACGTCTCCCTGCACGTTTCTTTTGGCACCGAGCGCCGGGAAGAGTTTAGCGCCAACATAATCGTGGAGATGCAAACTCCTGATACTGCATCATGGGCTTCCAGCAAACCGTAGTGGTAAAACAGGCAATAGCAAACCCCAATAACACTGGCCTGTGCAGCACTGCGGCTCTTCTTCTGCATGAGATGCTGCTCGTCGGCTGCGCTGGGTCCACTCCCCATCCTTTGCAGAGCTCCGGGTTTGCACCACGCCGGGTGGTTGCTTTGGTGCCGGAGCAAGGGACGGCTTCTCCGGACCAGTGGTCCCTTAGTGGCAGCTGCGGCAAACACTGGCAGGTGGCAAGAGCTCGAGTGAGAGCGGTGGCAGCTGTGTTAATACAGCAAAGAAAATACGGCGGTATCGCGAGGCACAGGGATCCGCAGGGGCTCGCAGGCAGTTGCTAAGCCCTGGAGCATCCCTGGGAGATCGATGGGTGTTGCCTTGGAGAGGAAAGCAGGCAGGTGACAGGCAGCAAGTCCAGCAGCAAGCAGGACCATGCTGCAGCTCCTGGTCCGTGACTTAGCCTTGCTCGGGCTTTAGGTACCACCAGCTGTTCTTTAAACCCTCTTTTTTTGGCAGCTCGGGGTGCTGAGTGAAAAGTAATTTCACCTCAGTGTTTGGTGGTGGTTTTCTGAGATGCTGATTTTCTTTACGTCCCCCAAAACCTGCATGCCTTAGTCACCTGGGTTATTTTCCAGCATCCAG